CACCTGAGAATTTGAAAATTCTTATCTACTATCACAAGTGAGTTTTCATATATATCTATATGGTCGCGAATTGAATTCCATTAGAGAGAGAGAGAGAATATAAGGAGTGTGCATAACGAGTACAAGAGAAAGAGAGTGAGAGAGAGTGTAAGGAGTGTGTAATATCGAGTACGAGAGAGAGAGAGAGGACAAAACGCTCTCTCGCGCTTTACGGAGGGAGGTGTGGGAGGTTTGCTGGTGTTTGTAAGGAGGGTGTGTTATATGTCGGAAAGAGGAAAAAAGAGAGGGAGCAGTGCAAGTAGAGAGAAGACTCGACCAGCTGACCGTGGAGGACACGGTAGCACGATACTCAAGTAAACTGTAAGACAGTGCGGAGTGGGACGAGTACATCCGGCACTGAGTCAACCCGGTTGTACACCCAGACAAAATTTTTTTTTTTTTTTTTTTTTTTTCTTCATTAAATCACAAAAATATTATATTCAAGTAAATGGAAAAATTGCTATTATTATATTGATTGAATTTTCGTGCGTAAGAATAATTTTTTTTTCATTTAATAACAATATAGGGGATGGTGTGGGTGGAGAAAATTTTTTTATAATGACGCTTACGCACAGTGCCCGCGTGAAACGCTCTTTTTTTCGTCATTGGCCTGACCACTGTATTATGTACGTCATTCAGAGTCTTTATCGACCAATGAACGATTAACTCGCCTACAGTCAGGAATGCTCATCATATATTCTTTTTTCGTTTATGTAATTTTTTCTGCACCTGTGCGTTATTGTTCTTTTTTTCGAAAGTCAAAAAAATGGTCCTTTAGTATAGCAAAAAAGGGTGCGAAATTTTGCAAAAAGAATTCAAACTAAAATTACACTCCTGGCGGAGTTTAATTTTAGTTTGAATTCTTTTTTTTAATTTTATAAATAAGTAAAAATAATCAGGGTTGCCATAGGTTAGGGAATTCAGCAGGAATAGAACAAGTGAAAGTATTTAAAAATACGAACTGTACGGACCAAAAATGAAAAATTACAGATCAATTATTGATAAAAGTATAACCAGTCCGAGACAAATAAAAGAATTTTTCGAGAAATTCGATTAAAATTATATTGAAAATAATTTAAATTCTGCCATGAATTTTATTATTTGTGAAAATAATTGAATCCCTAAGAAGAATTTTATTATTTTTAAACATACATTAAATCTCTGCAAAAAATTGTATTGCTCTTGAAAATAATAGAATTTCTGCAATAATTTGCAACTTCTTCAAAATTCAATTTTTTTTTAGTGTTTTTAAGTAAAATTCTTCTATACATCCATTATTTTTGATAATTTTTGAAAAAGTTCTTTGATAATTTTTGAAAAAGTTCTTTGAGAATTTTCAAATTTATTTGTTTACAATTCAATTTTACAAAATTTTCATTCTTCGGAATTCTTCAATTAAATATATATATATATTCGAAAATAAAAACATCAAAAAAATAATTTCAAGTAAAATTCCAATAAATTTTTTCAAAAAAATTAATTCATCTACATAATTATGTAGAAGAATTAATTTAGTTAAAAATATTTAGTTAGTTAAAAGTATGGAAACTCAAAATTTTCAAAGATTTTAATTTGAAACCTTTTCAAAATTCAATTATTTTAAAATATTCACACAGTAATACTTTTAATATTCAATTATAATCTAAAACTTTAACTGAAATTCATTTTTAAATCCTTTTTTTATTAGAAAATTCTACTAGAATTGATTTATTTAAATACAAAAAAATACTTAATTGAATAATTGAATGTTTCTTAAAATTAAATTCTCATAAGGAATTTTATAAATAAATTTTTAAAATAATTGAATTTTTTGACTAATTTTAAGAAAATGTTTAAGAATATTTACATTTTTCGAGAAATTTGATTAAAAATTATTTAAATTCTGCCCTGAATTTGATTATTTACGAAAATAATTGAATCCGTGTAAAAAAAATTTATTATTTTTAAATACAGTACCGTCCGAAATTGTCAATCCACCCATTTTCAAAGGAATGACAAAAATTTTTTAACATAAAATTCATGAAAAGTAAAATTTTTTTTGGTTTATATTTTGAAAGACGATAAAATTTTGAAAAGAATAAGACCTTACAGAAGTCATTTAGCCAAAATTTGTAGAAGATATTCTTAAAAATCGTCATTTTCAATGTTTTACAAAAATTTGAATAACTTCTAAAATAATGAACGCTTTTTAATAATCTTAGGCTTATTTTAAAGACCATTTTCTACAGAATAAGAATTACTTATAGGCATTAACCTGTAATTTTTAACTTGGCATAAGCATGACGTCAAAGTTGGACAAAAAAATTTAAAAAATTTGAAATAATATTATTAAAAGAAAAATAATTTTTGAAATTCAAACATATATTTTTATTACATTTTCTTGAAAAATCTACACCATATCATGTTTTATATATGTTCTAGAATAGTTTTTAGTACAAAAAATTGATTTCAAATTTTTCCAATTTTTTTGTCTAATTTTGACGTCATGCTTATTCCAAGTTAAAAATGACAGGTTAATGCCTTTAAGTAATTCTTATTCCGTAGAAAAAGACCTTTAAAATAAGCCTAAGATTATTAAAAAGCGTTCATTATTTTACAAGTTATTTAAATTTTTGTAAAACATTGAAAATGACGATTTTTAGGAATATCTTCTACAAATTTTGGCCAAATGACTTCTGTAAGGTCTTATTCTTTTCAAAATTTTATCGTCTTTCAAAATATAAACCAAAAAAAATTTTAGTTTTCATGAATTTTATGTTAGAAAATTTTTGTCATTCCTTTAAAAATGGGTGGACTGACAATTGCGGACGGTACTGTATAATTGAATTATTGCGAAGAAATTTATTAAAAAAAATGTGTAAATAATTGAATTCATGTGAAATTTTTACTATTTTATGAAAATAATTAAATTTTTTACGTAGAATTTGATTACAATTTGTTCAAATAATTGAATTCTTTTGGAAAATTTTATTAGATCATAGTTGATATTGAAAATCATTAAATTGAGGAAAATTTTTTGAAAATAATTGAAATTTTGCCAAGAATTTTCTTTAAAATTTTTGACAATAATTGATTTTCGGAGAAGAATTTTATTATTTCTAAAGATAATTGAAATTTTGTGGAGAATTTTATTATTTCTGAAGATAATTGAAATTTTGACCAGAATTTTATTAAAATTTTTGAAAATAATTGAATTTTGGAGAATAACTTTATCGTTTTTAAAGAAAATTAAAATTTTGACGAGAATTTTATTAAATTTTTTGAAAATAATTGAATTTTGAAGAAGAATTTTATTATTTCTAAAGATAATTGTAATTTTGACGAGAATTTTTTTAATTTTCTGAAAATAATTGAATTTTGAAAAAGAATTTTATTATTTCTAAAGATAATTGAAATTTTGACGAGAATTTTTTTAATTTTCTGAAATAGTTGAATTTTGGAGAAGGATTTTTATTATACTTTTGAAAATAATTGAATTTCGGCGAAGGATTTTATTATTTCTAAAGATAATTGAAATTTTGACGAGAATTTTATTAAAATTTTTGAAAATAATTGAATTTCGGAGAAGAATTTTAATTACTTTTGAAAATAATTGCGATTTTCTGCAATTGTAATTGTAATTTCTCTAAAATTCTCCAAATTATATCGTATAATTTACTAGAACTTTTCGTGCTTTTTCAATCAAATTGCGGACTTTATGGATATTTTCATCAAAAAAAATTAATTTTACAAACTTGAAGCAAATTTTCGGTTCTTTACACTGTTTTAAAAATCTGACTCCAGCAATACACCAAAAATATTAAAATGATATTATTTCAATCTCGCAAAGTGGGAATTGTTGAATTTCATTAAAGTTTTTAGTGAATCTAATCAAATGAAAGTATTCACACTTTTTGATATTTGAAAGTATATAATTTTCAATGTTTCAGTGTAAAGTTGGAGTCCAATTTTTAACAGAGTTCGAGCCCTGTATTTCTGAATTACATTTTTTCAGGAAGTTAAAAAATAGGAGTTAAAATTTAGTAATTAATTAGTAAATTTTACTAATAAATAGTAATTTCCACTAATAAATGGTAATTTCTACTAATATTTAGTAATTTCTACTAATAAATAGTAATTTCTACTAATTTATTAGTAAAATTTATTAATGCAAAAGCAAAAAGTCAGTCATTAATTCGAATTAGTAAAAATTAGTAGGTACTAATTCAAATTTAGAGAGTTTTTTCTGCTGTAGCAAAATTCACTTCTTTAAAAATCGTAAAATTTGACATAAGTTCAAAATTTGACATAAGTTCGATTTAGTTTTACTTTGTAAATATAGTAAATGTTAGTGTATATATTTTTTAATGTAAAAGCTTCAAAAAAAATTGTGTTTTATTCTTTTCGGTTTGGCGAATGAAATATATTTTTCAAAAAACCAACTTTATGGGGCTTTTATTTTGGAGTTTAGAGTAAAACATTCTAGGAGTGAATAATCAACTCCAAAAGTGTTACTTTTTTTTCGCCATTTTAGTATCGAGTGAATTTTTTTCGATTTTATCGAAAGTGGAAATTGAATGAATATTGGAGAGAGTAAATGTGACTTTACGTTACATACACAGTGACATTTCTACGTGTAAAATGCATGTGTATAGAGCGGAGGGAAGAGTGGGAGTGCTTGCGCATGCACATTGAGAGCATGTTTTGTAGTTGTGCGCTCACATGTCCATGGGCAAAATGTGCACATGTGCATAGAGAGAAAGAGAGAATTTTACTGTCTCGGTCTTTTCAGATGTGTCTCTTTTTCTCTTTCTCTCTCTCTCTCTCTCTCTCTGGTTTACGTCCGCTTTCTCAAATCTTTATTTGAAGCCCGACCGCGAACTCGGGGCGAACTGGTCGAAGCGCGCGCGACCGCCCCGCTTTTTAACGCCCCCGGGTGGCTGCTGCCGCCTTTTGCCTTGGCTTGCGACTTGCGACGACGACGACGACGCACGCAGTTTCTAAATTTGAATCCTTGGAGAGAGAAGTCGCGCACCGCGTGCTCTCTGCTGCGTTAAAGCCACAGGCCGGTCTCACCGCTTAAACTCGAAACTCTCAACCATACACATGTGACAAGTATTTTAAGAAAGACACTCTCGCAGTGTGCATCTAGTCAACACAATCTAGTCCCAAAACATCGTCGTGCATTCGGTTATACGGCAAACCCAACAAGAGAGAGAGACTAATAATAATTTCTTAGACGATATTATTAACTCCGTAACACACTATAAATAATTCCAAATCATTTTGTAACACCCCTCGTGTTTTTAAAGTGCATCGACATTTTCCGCGATTCTTAAATAGAATTAACACACTCTCTCTCTCTCTCTCTCTCCTTTTCTCGTAATTGTAATAAAAGAAATTTTAATATTTATCATCTTCCAAGTGTGCTCAATTTATACTACTAAAAAAAACTTGTGATTTTTTTAAGAGATAATATATATATATTTTTAAAAGAAAAGGACTTTTATATTCTCCTTTTTTTTCATAAAGGAGAAAATTATAAATTTCACAAATTTAGTGACGACGAGATACATTTTCTCTAGTGAATGTTGGAGGGAAAAATTTATTCACTTTTTTTATTTATAAATTATTGTGAAGTGACTGTGATTTTGAGAGATGTGTTGTGAAATAATAATGACTTAGGAGAATAGAGTCAGGGGTTTGGTAGTTCAACTTGAAGAGTAACCTCAGGGGGTTCCCCGCTCGATTACGCTCGATTCCATGCTCCATCGCCTCGTCCTCGAAAGCAGCATAGAGCTTTTGCATGCTTTCCTCGTCACAAACAACACTGGTGAGTGTAAAAGAGAGATAAAGGGAGAAAGGGAGAGAGAGAAGGAGAGTTATGTTAGCCGACGCCACTGTCTGGCGGACTTGGTGTTTTTTTTTTTTTTTTTTTTTTTTTTTTGCGCTCTTCTTCTTTTTTACTCTTCTTTTTTTTCTCGCTAATTTACCAAGAGCAGTGCACATACGATCAGAGAGAAAGAGAGAAAGAGAGAGAGAGAGAGAGAGAGAGAGAGAAAGAGTGTGTGAGAGAGAGAAAGAGAGAAATTCTCTATACTTATTCGCGAATTTAAACGCGCGGTTCCACGTCCGCTCATCTCCGATCCCCACTATTTGTAGATGAAAACTTGGAACACGGCCAGTTTGGCACGGTTTCGAAAAAGGGAGGAGAGTTTGAATTTCAGGGCTAAGACATTAGTGCGGTTCGAGAAAATTTATTTCTTCTTTTTAATTGTTCTTCTCTTTCTCTCTCTACTTCTCGTTAGTTGCAGACTCTAAATTTTCATTTAGTGAAAAGTACAATAATTTAGTAAAATTAATAGTTAATTTTTTTTCTGCTTTTTTTATTATTACATTCTTACCACAGGTCAGGGAAATCAGGGAAAAGTCAGGGATTTTTATTTAAGTAACTAGAAAAAATTGAATTTTGGAGAAGTTACAAATGAATTGCAGAAATTCAATTATTTTCAAAAACGTCGGTGAAGTTCACAACGTTTATGATCAACGATTGAAAAAAAAATTATTTTCCTAATACGAAAAAGAATAAAATTTTTTGTTCACAAATATTTCTTTTGTAAATCATTATTCAAAAAACTAACCAAAATATTTTCTATACAAAAATTAATAAAAATTTGATTAAAAAAATATTTTTCTTAGGAAATCGTTGATTATAAACGTTGTGAACTTCACCAACGTTTTCAAAAGTAATAAAATTCTTCGCAAAAATTCAATTATGTTCAAAATTTTTTTAAAAATTCTCGTCAAAATTCAATGATCTTTAAAAAATAATAAAATTCTTCTCCAAAATTTCAATTATTTTCAAAAATTTAAATAAAATTCTTTGCAAAATTTCAATTATTTTCAAAAAATTTTTCTCAATTCAATGATTTTCAATATCTACAGTTTTAATAAAATTTTTTAAAAGAATTCAATTATTTAAAAAAAAAAAAATTTGATAAAATTCTAAGCAAACTTCGCAATAATTAAATTATTTTCATAAATAATAACATTTTTTACAAAAATTCAATAACTTTCATGAATAATAAAATTCATCATGGAATTTCAATTATTTTTAATACAATTTTAATTGAATTCCTCGAAAAATTTAATTATTCTTGAAAATTTTATTAAAATTTCTCGAAAAAATTCAAATTTGTTGATAAAATTCTTTATGATAATTTAGTTTTGAAAAACATTCATTTATTCAATAAATTATTTATTTTTGTATTTAAATAATTGAAATACTCAGAGAAATTTTATAATTTATGAAAATAATGGAATTCTTACAACGAATTTTATCAATTTTTTAAAAATAATTGAATTCATGTGGAAAATTCAATTACTTGTAAAAATAATTGAATTTATGCAACTAATTTTATTACATTTTATTTAAATAACTATATTCTTTTGAAAACTTGTATTAAAAATGTAAATTTTGAAAATTTTTGAATTTCAGCGAAGAATTTCATTATTTGTGAAATGTACCTAATTTAATTCTTGCAAAAAATTTTTGAAGATAATTTTATTTTTTGAGAAATTTATTTAGAATTGTATTAAAAATAATTGAAATCATGTGAAGAATTTTATTATTTATGAAAACAATTGAATTCTTGCAACGAATTTTATTATAATTTTTGTAAATAATTTTGTAACTCTTCAATTAAATATATATTAAAAAATAAAAACTTCAAAAGAATAATTTAAAGTTAAATTCAAAAAAACTTTTCCAAGAAAATTAATTCTTCTACATAATTGCTAGTTAAAAGTATGAAAAATTAAAATTTTCAAAGATTTTAATTTGAAACCTTTTCAAAATTCAATTATTTCTAAATATTCACGCTGTAATACTTTTAATATTCAATTACAATCTAAAATTTTAACTGAAATTTTCATTTTTATGAAATGAAAATCAATTTTTATTAGAAAATTCTAACTAGAATTGAATTATTTAAATAAAAAAAAAAGAATTAATTGAATAATTGAATGTTTCTTAAAATTGAATTCTCATAAGAAATTTTATCAACAAATTTTTAAATTGATTGAATTTTTTTTGACTAATTTTAATAAAATTTTTAAGAATACTTACATTTTTCGAGAAATTTGATTAAAATTGTATTAAAAATAATTGAAATTCTGCACTGAATTTTATTATTTGTGTAAATAATTGAATTCCTAAAAAGAATTTTATTATTTACGCAGCTAATTTTTCAGGATAAAATTAGGAATTTCAAAAATAATAGAATTTAAATTTTTTTTCAAAATACTAAAAAATCCAATTTTTGAAAAATTACAAATAATAATTGCAGAAATTCAATTATTTTCAAGATGAGAAAAAATTGTTCTCATAAAATTCAATTATCTTTTAAATTTAAAAACAAAATTCTCGTCAAAATCCCAATTGTTTTTTCACAAAATTCTTCCCCAAAGTTCAATTATTTTCAAATCAATTTCAAATTACCAAAAAATAGTACGCAAACAATTTAATTATTTTCATAAATAATAAAAATTTCTTCAGGAATTCAATTATTTACAAATTTTTTTTTTATAGATTCCTTCGCAATAATTCAATTATTTTTATAAATAATAAATTTTTTCAATTATTTTCGTAAAAAATAATTAAAAATTGTAGTAAATAAAAATTTATATTTTTCGAGAAATTTATTTAAAATTGAATTAAAAATAGGTAATTGAAATTCTGTGAAGAATTTTATTATTTATGAAAATAATTGGAATACTTGCATATCGAATTTTATTAAAATTTTTGAAAATAAATTCAAGTTTTTTGAACCATTTTCTGAAAAATTTTTAATGAACAAACTTAATTAATTTCGAGTAATTTAATAAAATTTTAATAAAAATAATGAATTTCTAGCGATGAATTTTATTATATCTATGAAAATAATTTAATTCTTGTAATGAAATGTTATCAAAATTTTAGAAAATTATTAATTTCTTTGAAATATTGCAGTCAAATATTTATAAATTATATTTAATTTATTATTATCTACCTAAATTTAAACTAAATTTTAAAATAAAAAATAAAAAAAATATTTCCTTCATTTGAACGATCGAAACTTGTAGAGCTTTTTTTCAAAAAATTTCACATTTTGTTCAAATTTCACATTATTTTTTTTTTAAAGTTCATTTATTTTTTTAATTTTTGAAGAAAAGGATTAAAAACATTTGCAAGTACTGAAAAAGATGAAATAATTTTTAGAACTTTCTGTCTAAATATAAATTAATGAAAAGTCTACTAATTAAAATTAGAAGAAAATTTAACTACATGAAAAATTGTTGGTACAACAATTATTTCAGTAAAAAATGACTATATTTCGTAAAAAAAATGTCTGTTTTATTATTAGAGAAATTTAACTATTTCTCTTAGTAGTAGTTGAATTTTTTTTATTTCATTTCTAATAAAAATAAAATAAAGTAGAAATTTTTAACAGTTTTTAGCAAAAAAATTTTTTGCCATATAAGTAGATTTTAGTTAAAATCAGTAACATTTTCTATAAATAAATTACACAACTTCCTCTAATGAGTTAAAATTAGAAAAAAAGAAGTTTAATTATTCTATTTGCCTAAAGTGAAAGTATTTTTTTTTTAAATTGAGATTAATTCATATTAAGAATGTTGAATCAAGGATTTTATCTAGAAATAATAATTATCAAGATTTCAATAAATCTTTCATTAAAAGAGTAATTAAGTCTAATCTAAAGAATTGATTACGTTATCTAATGTTACATTATTATTGTTGTTAACATTAATAATACTACTATAATTAATATTAATAATAATAATAATTCTACTATAATCATCATAATAATACTACTTATTTTTATCAGAGATTCATAACAAATTAGTCAATAATTACTTTTAATTTTCTTTTTAAATAATTTCAAATTTTAATCAATATGGAGAATTTATATAATTAAGAATACAAAATAGTAAAAATAAATTTTACAATTTGTTGAGTCTGACTAAAATTGCCAGACACTACTGATATCAAATGACAACTATTGTGTCTGACCGAAATTGACTCGTACTACTTGCTACAGTTATTAATCCTTTTTTGCTAATTACAATAAGCAAATTCTCATAAACAATATATTAAAAATTTCTAACTTCTCTTTAATTCCTCTTTTGTCGTCGGAAGACAAAAAATGCCAAATTGTAATGAAGAATTAGGTTTTTATATTGAAACAAAAAACTATTGTTATCATCCCGTCAGGGACAGTGTTTGTGTAAAATAACACTATTGACACGCAAAGAAAAGATTTATTTTAAGTTCAAGTCAATTCATTATCACAAGTTAATAATTTTTATTAATTCTGGCGACATATTATTTAACAATATTAAATTAATAATAATTAGTTAATAATAGTTAATTAATAATAATTAATTTTTAATAATATTACAATTTTCGTTGAAAAATTCTGGGAAAATTCCAAAATTATATTAATAATAATAATAATAATAATAATTATTATTATTATTATTATTATTATTTTTGTTATTATTAATTACAAGTTATTAATATTTATTAATATTATTCAAATTTTGTTTATACATATACATAGTTTTTTTTATTCATTTATTTTTATTTATAAATACTTTTTTGTTTATAACACATGTGTTTATATGCAACAGCTATAAATAAAAAGTTGATATTTATGAATTAAAGTGGCTTAATTTTTCCAAGAAAAAAAAAGTAATTCAATAAATTATTATTAATACACACGGAACATAAACTTGAATGAAAAGTAATAGACATCGGTTACGTAATAATAG